GGCGGAGACAGGAGGAGGTTCTTCCAGGATTCATGGATCAGTGCTGTTTTTGTCTCATCCTGACAGTTTAATTAATGTGTTCTGCAGCTGGAAGTGACACAAATCAACTTCCTGTGGCTCATGGTCTGACTCCTGAAGCTGCTTGTTTTTGTTTGTTTGTTTGTTTGTTTGTTTGTTGTTTGTTTGTGCTTCTCACTGCTGAGGTAATGAGACCACTAACTGACTCACTGGTTTGTGCACAGATTGCTTGAAGTTTTATAAAGTTTAATGAGCTGACGAGTTGTGATGGTGTAAAGGTCAGTGAACACACCACGGCCTGATGAGTGTGTGTTTAAATGTAAAGAATATGAAGTTCAGCTCCTCACAGTCTGATTAGAGCTCAGAGGGATCGTTAACCATCGGTAATCATCGTTAACCATCGGTAATCATTGTTAACCATCAGTAATCATTGTTAACTATTGGTAATCATCGTTAACCATTGGTAATCATCGTTAACCATCTGTAACCATCGTTAACCATCAGTAAACATCGTTAACCATCAGTAATCATTGTTAACTATCGGTAACCATCGTTAACCATTGGTAATCATTGTTAACCATCGGTAATCATTGTTAACCATCTGTAATCATCGTTAACCATCAGTAATCATTGTTAACCATCGGTAATCATTGTTAACCATCGTTAACCATCTGTAACCATCGTTAACCATCAGTAATCATTGTTAACCATCGGTAATAATTGTTAACCATCGTTAACCATCGGTAATAATTTTTAACCATCGGTAATAATTGTTAACCATCGGTAATCATCGTTAACCATCGTTAACCATCGTTAACCATCGGTAATAATTGTTAACCATCGGTAATAATTGTTAACCATCGGTAATAATTGTTAACCATCGGTAATCATCGTTAACCATCGTTAACCATCGGTAATAATTGTTAACCATCGGTAATCATCGTTAACCATCGTTAACCATCGGTAACCATCGTTAACCATCAGTAATAATTGTTAACCATCGGTAATGATTGTTAACCATCAGTAATAATTGTTAACCATCGGTAATAATTGTTAACCATCGGTAATAATTGTTAACCATCGTTAACCATCGATAATAATTGTTAACCATCGGTAACCATCGTTAACCATCGGTAATCATCGTTAACCATCGGTAATCATTGTTAACCATCGTTAACCATCGGTAATAATTGTTAACCATCGGTAACCATCGTTAACCATCTGTAACCATCGTTAACCATCGGTAATCATTGTTAACCATCGGTAATCATCGTTAACCATCAGTAATAATTGTTAACCATCGGTAACCATCGTTAACCATCTGTAACCATCGTTAAACATCGGTAATCATTGTTAACCATCGGTAATCATTGTTAACCATCGGTAATCATTGTTAACCATCGGTAATCATTGTTAACCATTGGTAACCATCGTTAACCATCGGTAATCATCGTTAACCATCAGTAATAATTGTTAACCATCGGTAACCATCGTTAACCATCTGTAACCATCGTTAAACATCGGTAATCATTGTTAACCATCGGTAATCATTGTTAACCATCGGTAATCATTGTTAACCATCGGTAATCAT